ATGACCAAAGATGCTTCCCCTCAACTCAGGTACCAACCCCCAGCGCAACAGATGAAGAGAAAAACAAGGAAGGTGATCAACCTGTTTACACGCCTTTACTTTTCCAGATTTAGCAGAGAATTCCTCACTGGCAGGTTCTCCCCCAGCAGGTAAGAATTGCCCAAGAGACTCAATTCCAACAATTCTGGGGGCACAGGACCGTTCAGAGACGGACTTGTGCGTTTAAAGGCGGCTGCCACTCCAGGAACACGCCCCTCGATGGATCTTTCAGTCTTACCTGAAGAAGAATATCAGGCCAGGATCTCCTTCTTTGGCAGAATTTTCTACACCTATCACCAAAATGTTTGCTGCATCTATGATTTGAAATGAGGAGGAGCTATGTCACAGGTGGTCCACAGCGCAGGCGTTCAGGCGATGATGGAGCACTGAGGGCCCTTTCTCTCTACTGTCTTGAGTTCCTACCACAGCGCCTACCTCCCGCCAGGCTTCCGGCCATGACTGGGAACATGGACGCGAGCAGCAGGGACGTCTCAGCAGTGCTGTGCTATTTACACATGCCCGTCCCCACCCATTTGGACTCAGTGATCACTAGACTGGCTAATAAGCAATTAAAGGTTTGGCTTCGAGATAATGAAGGTCCAAGAAATGAACTTTTTTCAAAATCGGTCTAAAGACAACTAAGGGACACAGACATGGCCTTCCCTTTCCTGTGCCATTTGATGGTTCATCCTTCTAAAACCAGTGGCCAGGCTTTGTCCTGCTTGCTTAGGCTATGTGATCAGGACTGATATCACAGTGAACCAGAGACCAGTGCCAATGAGGGGACCCTCCCTCAGAGGGACAGGTACATGCCGGCACATTCTGCTCCATGTAGGGGTCCCCTCCATGTGGGGTCACCACGAGGCAATGAACAACAACATTCAGAAAATTCCTGAGTTCTTCTGAAACACCGACTCTAATGGGCAGATGGGCCAGGGCGCATCCCAAGTCACGGCTTCCGAAACGAACTTGGCTTAAACGAACTTGGCTTACTGGCGTCTTCTCAGAAAAGCAAAAACACTCAGTACCCCATTGGCAATAACAAATTCTTGTAACGTAGCCCATAACCCAGGATAAAGCATAGGTTATCTGCTTTAGCAGCTCCCCCTCCCCCATCATTCCAGGTGCAGTGTTTACGTGTTGGGCTGCTAACTACAAAGTTAGCGGTTCAAAATCACCACCTGTTCCTTGGGAGAAAGAGGAGGCTTTCTACTCTCGTAGAGTTACAGTGTTGGAAACCCACAGGGGCAGCTCGACTCTGCCCCATAGGACTGGGACCGACTCCGTGGCAGTGGATTTCGTTTTTTTTGGATCATTCGGTGCCTTCTTACCCCCAAGGATGACCTCACGCACGTGAGAAAGCCAAGCTATAAATAAAGCTTCAGAAGCCATCCTAAGTTTAATCTGAGAACTCCGTTCTCGGTGAACACGTTTTCAGCTCTTCTCCTTAAGGGTCATCTGCACAGAGAGTCAGCCTCACTCATGACGCAACCCTCCAGGTGGGAAGTAAGCTCTGAGCAAGTGCGTGCTCACCACCTATCAGAGGACAACTCTTTCCTGGTCCTTTTTAAAGCCGCTTGGCCCCTGATTCAAGCAGCCGTTACCTCTGGGCAGGCTGGTGACTTCCACATATCCGTGGGCCAACAGGTCTTGGCAGAGGTTTCCCAGGTGGTACTCGTCTGCTGTGGCGAACGCCGTGCAGTACATCAGGTCCTGTGCCAACAAGAGCAGTGCAGGGCGGGTTACCCAGTGGTTGGCGGCTCGGTCACGGCACAAAGCTAGCCCTTGAACGCTTTATTCACACATCTCAAAGGCTGGTGGAGAGGGCGCCTAACTCGTGAACGGGAGGGGTGGGCTTCAGCTCAGTGGACACAAGCTCCAGAAAGACCCAGCGGGCGGGCTCTCCTGACCCCGCTCTTGGACACTCGCCTCTCAAGCACAGGCCAAAGAGGCAGAGGGGAGAGCGCCTTCTCCAGTTCTGAAAGTGGCACGCTTTACAGAGGCAGGCTGTTTTACAGCAGAAGTGTGACCCAGCCATTTCAAAGCAACATCACTACCCGATGCCGGTGTTTCAGCCTCTGTAGCCTCAAACGGGCAGCTGTTACTCCAGGAGGGACCCACGGGGCTTTGTTCTGGTTTCCAGGCAACTGATGCGGGTGCTTCTAAGACTGTGGCAGGTTCAGCTAGTGTTTGCCCATGACTGCCCATGCACCTCACATGTTTGTGGTGTGTGTGTGTGTGTGTGTGTGTGTAAAAAGAACACATATGGCAAGGATATGTCATAGTGGTATTTTGCCAAACAGTCCATTAGTCAGTCCTGATATACATTTAGTCTGCCCAAACTAGATGAAACAAGGGGGGCGGAGATAAGAAACCAAGTAGTACAGTGCATTGTTCCTAGCCAGGGGAGAGGGTATTCTATGAAACCCGTGTACACGTGCGACTGTGTGTGCATGTACACACGAGGGTGGGTCAGAAAGGACTACTACTAGGCTCCCAGTCCACACAAGCACGGGTTTATTCCAAACCCAAAGTGCTTGTGCACATGCCTGGGATCAGTGGACGGCTACCGACAAGTGCGCTCTGAAAGAGACTTGTCTTAGTCTTGTTAAAAACAAAGTCCAGTTAATGCAGTGGCTTCCAAGAGGATGTGCTCCAGAAGCCAAAACCACACTGCCACTGAGGCAGTGCGGACTCACAGCAACCCCACAGGACGGGAGAACGGCCCCCGGGGGTTTCTGAGACTGTCGCTCTGGGAGTAGACAGCCAGGTCAGGTTCATGGCCCGACGTGTAGCCACTACATCACCTGGGCTCATCCAGGAAATCTGTTGGGCTGGTTAAATTCAAGGCAGACGGTCAGCTCAGAAGTTTATGGAAACGTTTGGAGGACCTTGAACAGGTAATCTGGAAAGATCTTCTCAAAGGGGTCCTATGAGGAAGTTTTATCAAAACTGAAAACAGCATTGGTAAGACAAAGGCAAGAAAGGGCATTGAGGAGCATTTTGGATCATAATCTGCTTACTCTTCCAGGGGAGCAGGAGGTGTCTTGCCAGAATTTCACTGGGAAGCCTTACCCCACCCACCCTACAGCCTGATCTGGCCGCTTCAGGCTTCTCTTTGCTCCCAAATCTCAAGGCACAGTTACAAGGAGCACACACTGGGTCCCTCCAGGGTGCCAGAGCGGCTGTTCTGAGGTGGTGTCACTCAAAAAGCACAGAATCCTCCAGGGAAAGATTCCAGAGAAGGAAACACTGCCTTCATCGGGAGGCTATTTCAAGAAGCAGTAGCTCCATATTTTGACATTCTGTTTAGTAAAGGTTCCTATGCTTTTGCAGCAATCATTTTGACAGGCTCCTGTGTGAGTGTGTGTTTAACCACAGACAACACAGCAGGAGTTAAGAAGAAAAGGGAGAGAGTGGTACCCACGGAAGGAACACGGTTTGAAGGCACTACACAAGGGCTTCAGGAAAACCAGAACCCAAGGTAAAGACAATTCATTTCTAACTTCCTAAGCGGGGCAGTGAAGGCATGCATGCCTTTTCAAAGTGAACTGCCCAGGAAAATCTCACACACACACACACACACACACACACCCAATTAAATGTGTGCAGGGTTCACTTCTCAAATCAAGAGGTTAAAAAGACCAAGAGAGCCTGACCTGTTCCCTGGCAGACTCAGAAGAGTGGATCGAGTGTTAATCATCCCCCATCTTTTCAAGATGGATGGACCCAGGGGCTGCCTCGGTGGGCAGAACCATTGCGAGGAGGGCCAGGACCAGGCAGGGTTCTCTTCTGTGGCACCCAGGGCTGCTATGGGTCGGGACCAATGGGACGGCACCCAACAACAACGATGCTCTTTAAGTGTCAATGACTTCACCCACGGATGGACCCTCAGCCTCTCTTCTATCCTTCCCCACCTCCCAGCCTTCTGGTTGAGCATAACTGCACTCCGTACAAGTTACAGTTCTAGGGGAGGAAGGCTTATCCTGGCCCTTCAGCTTTATCAGTCAGGAGGGAAGCCGATGCAAGTTGCTGCTGCAGCTGCTGCAACTTCCCATAGCCTCTAAACGTCCAGGGAAGAGACACACTCACCCACTCCACCCCTGCTCCCAACTTCCCAGGATTGGTGTTGGCACCACCAGATTTGGCCCCCAGCTCACAGCAACCCTGTAAAGGAAGCCCTGCCTGTTCCCATGCCACCCCCATGAGCAGCAGTGGGTGAGACCATTGTGAGCCACTCCGTCTTGGAAGTGGATTGCCAGGCCCGTCTTCCAAGTCTGTCTTGGTCTGGAAGCTCTGCTGAAACCCGTCTGGGTCACAGCAGCGTGTGAGCCTCCGCTGGCCGAGGGGCGACCACTGCACGTGAAGGGTGCTGGCCAGGACTTGAACTGGGTTTCCCCCGAGCAGAAGGTGAGAACTCTACCATGGAGTCACCAATGTGCTCCCGTCAAAGAATAAAATAGCACCCCCACTCCCACCACCGGCCCAGTCTCTACACATTAATGACTCATACCTGTCAGCAGTTATTTTTTAAAAAGGTAAATGTCTTAATTTGATGAAGAATTTCTAGTTTGATTTTTAAAACATTTTTAAGGTTGTTGATACAGAACTCTGGTGGCCTAGTGGTTACTTGTTGGGCTGCTAACCACAAGGTCAGCAGTTCAAAACCACCAGCTTGATTGGGATGGGGGGCAGCTTTCAGCTCTCATAAAGATTTACAACCTCAGAGGCCCATAGGGGCGGAGCTACCATGTCCCAAGGGTCACTATGAGTTAGCATCAACTCCATGGCAGTTTCTTTAAAAATACAGTGCCATTCTTAGGCTGGACTTAATACTTACCCTCTTTTGCAAAGTCTCCTTAAGTCAGTAGCTGATGAAAACTTTTATAAACTAGATGACTCCCTACCAGCTGTCAGTCAGCCGGTTCTGACTCAACTCCATGCCATGGAGTCGGTGACTCACAGTGGCCTTAGCACAGAGTAGAACTGCCCCTGAGGGTGCCAAAACTATCTGTCTTTACCGGAGCAGAAGGCCTCATTTTCCTCCCACGGAGCTGATGGTTTTGAACTCCTAACCTTGCAGTTAGCAGCCCAACCTTTAACCCACTATGTCTCCAGAGGTCTAGTGTAACTCATAGGGACTGCACAGGATAGAGCAGAAGGCCACATCGTCCTCTCCCAGCTGACCCTTTGGCTAGCAGCCCAGCACTCTAACCACAGCACGCTCAGGGCACATTCATAAACTCTTCCTGTCTATACCCTCCATCAGCACCATCAACTCCGGAAAACTAGGGTCCGGATTCCTTCTGGGCAGAACAGGTGTTACTAAGAGGTTCCCAGGATCTTGATGCGAGGATCCTAGGCTGGCCGGAACGCTGTGGGGAAGGCGCTGCAGTGGACAGAGGATGTGATTCTACTGCCCCTGGGTGCCACCTCTCACTGTACCTCATTCTCGGACAGCACCGGCAGGTTGGTCCTGGAGGGCTGCTTGGTCCTGGGGGCTTTGAGTGGTCTCTTGAGCGGGAAGTCTTGCTTGGGAACAAGTGTCTCCGTGGAGACAAAGGAGCAATGCTGCTTTAGGATTGGCACAAACCACTCGGAGTCCAGCAGGCTTGGTCTGTGAGACACTTTGCTGGGAAGCCCCAAAGGCTTGGCGGCTGGAAAGCGCAGGCTGTCATCTCGACCTTGCACGGGACGGATCCGAGAGGAGATGGTGGCACTAGTTGATGTGTTTGGGGCCCTGTCCAGGCCCTGGGGCTGATTCACACCATGAGCAGCGGGGTCAGGGAGGCCCACGGCCGGGTTGTGTGTGCCGGCCAGAGTGCGGCATACGGCGGTGCCCAGCCTCCTCGATGGAGCGGGTCTCTGGCATGGACATGTTTTCAGTAAGAGGCGCTGCGACTGGTCCAGGGCTCGCAGGATTCTGGCTGGCATGGCCCATCAGGAGCTAGGAGGAAAGGAATGCAGAGGTCACCGGTGTTTTCAAACCTCATCGTGCTCTTGGCCACAGACCTATTTCCGTAATACGGTTCCTTATAGCATATGCAAGCCACCTCAGTAAACCACTGACCAAGGTTCAAAACCAAAGGTGTTTGCACCACTGCTTCCTAGGCCACCTCTGGCTTCTTTTCTAAGAGATGACTGAGGTCAGAGCTATTATTCAGACCAGCAGCTATTAAACAGACCAGCAGCTGTGGAGCCAACTTAAATCGAGGGCAAGCCTGTGCGTTAGAAGAGGGTGGCTGTGTAGGGACCATGGCTGTGTAGGGACCAAGACAAGGACGTCCCTTAAAAAGGAGTAAGGATGATTGGGGGGTGAGGAGTGGGTGTCACCATTGACTCATTAGCATATCAACGACTTTAAAAAATCTTATTGACAAATTCCTTTATATAACACACTCAAGACTCCACAAATTCACTGCCACGAGTCAAAGCAGACTCACAGTGACCCTATAGGCAGAACTGCCGTCCCCTCCCCCCTCGTGAGTTTCTGACACTAACTCTTTTCAGGAGTAGAAAGCTCCGTCTTTGTCCTGAGGGGTGGCTGGGGGTTTTCAACTGCTGACCTTGCAGTTAGCAGCCCAGGGTGTAACACCACCAGAGCACCTATAATACCTTCCGTCCTCACCAACATCTTTACCATCAGACTGCAAAAAACGGGCTGGGGGCCACATCTGACTTCCTCTGGCTCCCCAAAGCCTACTGCTACATGGGAGGGGTCAGGCCTGCCTCTGCCCCACATCCCTTTGTCCCACTGACACCAACTGTCCCTCCCAGTACTGACTTCTGGGGCTGGGTGCAACAATTCATAGCAATAGCCACACCGAATCCACAGACAATACACGCATGGGTTTATCAGGGAAGTGAACAGGTTACAATTCAGGGGAGAACTGCTCAAGATAGTTGTTCAGTCAGGACGGTTTCTTCTCTGTGATGCCCCCAGGCAGTCATTTATGGCGCTCGGCCTCTTGGCCAGGCCTCTGCCCTGCTCAAGCAGTTACAAAGCTCTTTTAGGGTTGCCAATAAGTGCTCAAAGGGCATGCCACTCCACTCTAAGCCTCAAGGCAAAGGCACTCACCTCCTGCTCCTCCAGTTGCACCCCACTCAAGCCGGCCTCCTGCCCCAAAGCCCCCGCTTTACTAGCTTTGTGGCTGGTGTTGCTGTCTCATGCGCTGGCTCCAGGTGCTGCTGATTGTCTGATGCTCTTCTTGTGTCACAACTGTCTCCTGCATCAAGGATGGTCAATGTGCAGGGATCTCAGGGTCCAGATAAGCTACACTCTCCGTTGCTCTCTCTTGCTGGTAGTAAGAACTCCCTCCCCTTCTTGCTGAGATGGCTGGTTTTATACCCAGCAGGATGGTAATGACAATCACTCACAGCTGACTCACCTCATCTGGCCAGTTAACCTCCCCCACCTTCATGCCCAGATCCATTACAACAATGAAGGTCCTTTCATGGGAGTAATGAAGGCTATGGTTAGAAAACCAAAGATTAAGCTCACTGCCAACAAGTCAATACTGGCTCGTAGCAACCCTACAGGACAGGGTAGCACTGCCTTTGTGGGATTCCGAGACAGTAATTCTTTATGAAAGTAGAAAGCCTCATCTTTCTCATGAGTGGCTGGTAGTTTCAAAAGGCTGACCTTGTGGTTCGCAGCCCAATGCTATGCCACCAGCCCTCATTATGGCTGCAAAAGCCATATTAAATTCACGGAATTGCAGTTGGCAGTTCAAACACACCAGTCGTTCCTCAGTAGAAAGATGAGGGGGAACAGAGAAGGAAGCGTGTGGGTCAGGGGACCTAGGGGAACTTCGAAGAGGTGACAAGTGAGATGGATCTTGCAAAGAGGCATCCTCACCCACCACCCACCCTGGCGCACAGTCTTATTGACTTGGCAAACGGGGAAACTCCAGGGGGGAGAGGGAGGGCCAGGGAGTGGCAAAAGAGGTTTGAAAAAGGGCCAGATCCCAATGGCTGACAAGTGCTACTGGTGTTTCTACAGTTGAGGGATGCTACAACCTTCCACGAGAAGCTCACACGGTCAAATGCATGCTTGAGGCACGTTTGTAACAATGTGGAGAAGAGACTGGGAGAGACTAGCCTGATGCTTGGGTTAAGTGTTGGGCTGCTAACCACAAGGTCAGCAGTTCAAACTACAACTCAGTCCCTGGGAGGAAGATGAGGTTTTCTACGCCCGTGAACAGTTAGTCTCAGATACCCACAGGGGAAGCTCTGCCCTGCCCTAAAAGGTTGTCTCAAGTCAGAAATGACTCCACGGCAGTGGGAGTGGATACACACGCAGGGCTCCTCCACTGGACTTTATAACGACTCCAGGCATTGTACAGATGCAACAACAGGCTGGGGGGTGGGGTGGGGGTGGGGATGGATATGGCACACAGGTGCAAGCTGCTAAGATTCAAACTGAACGCAGTCTTTTCCAATCCCAAAGGCATCACCATTCATTCCACTAGACGAGAGGGGCTGCAGAAAGTTTGTGGGCAAATAGAGCTAACCAGAATGGACTTTTTGAAGCCTCCTGGCATCACATCCTATATTCTATCCTTTAGGAAGTGTGGAGCCCTGGTGACATATTGGGTTATGCACTTAACTGCTAACTTTAAGGGCAGCAGCTTGGAACCACGAGCCTCTTTAAGGAAGAAAGATGAGACTACCGTGTTTCCCTGAAAATAAGACAGTGTCTTATATTAATTTTTACTCCCAAAGATGCGCTAGGTCTTATTTTCAGGGGATATCTTATTTTTCCAGGAAGAAGAATACGGTACACATTTATTGTTGAACAACAAAAAAAGGAAATTTATCACCTGTATATGGTACGGTAGTAGTTGTCATCACAAACCAGCATAACCAGACAAACTGTGAATCCTACAGTATCAAGAATTTCTTGTTACTACCATTATTTCCATGTACAACAATCTATGCTACATTTACTCATAATCTATGGTACATTTACTCATAATCTATGGTACATTTACTCGCACTTCCTGTCTGCTCCGGCTGCGCTGTGGCCAACAGTGAGCTGTGTGGCGGCGTCTGCTGCTATGGTCCAGAGTCCAGAATTATGGTAGCTTTGGGGGGGCCTTATTATCGGGGAGACCTTATGTTCGGAGCGGTCTTATTTTGGGGGGATGCCTTATATTTCAGTGAGAGGCAAAATGTAAGCAGGTCTTATTTTTCAGGGGATGTCTTACTTTGGGGAAACACAGTATCTCCTCCCACAAAGATTACAGTTTGGGAAACCCGTGGGGTGGGGGAGGGGCAGTTCTCTGTTCTGCAGGCCCACTATGAGTCATAATTGACAGTTCTCTGTTCTGCAGGCCCACTCTGAGTCATAATTGACTTGATGGCAGTGAGTTTTTGAGCTTTCAGAAGAGTAATCAAAATGGGTGCATAAGCACATGTGGTGAAGAAAGCTGATGGTGCCAGCCTATTAGAAGATATAGTATCAAAAAAAAGAAGAAGAAGAAGAAATAGCATCTGGGGTCTTAAAGGCTTAAAGTTAAACATGTGGCCATCTAGCTGAAAAACAACAAAGCCCTCATGGAAGCAGCACACCCGCCTGTGCGATCACAAGGTCTACTACTGGATCAGGTATCAGAAGACCCAAAACAATTGTATCGATGGGAACAAGGGGTTTGGAGTGGAGACCCAAAGCCCATCTGTAGACCATTGGACATCCCTTCACAGAAGGATCATAAGGAAGAGAAAAGCTTAGCCAGGGTACAATATAGCACAAACGAAACACATAACATTCCTCTAGTTCTTTAATGCTTTCTTCCCCCCACTATCCTGACCCCAGTTCTACCTTACAAATCCGAGACTGGAACATGTGCACTGGTACAAATAAGAGCTCTAGACACAAGGAACGCAGGACAGATAAACCCCTCAGGAACAATAATGGAAGTAGTGATACCATGAGGGTAGGGGGAGGTGGGGAAGGAGGAGGAAAAAGGGGGAAACGACTACAATGATCGACTTATTAACACCTGCCTCCCCAGGAGATGAACAACAGAAATGTGGGTGGAAACAGCAGATGGCAGATGGTGTAAAATATGAAAATAATAAGTTGTTATTGAGGGATCAAGAGGGTGGAAAGGTGGGAGAGGGAGGGGAAAAAAGAGGAGCTGATACCAAGGACTGAAGTGGAAAGGAAATGTTTTGAAAATGATGATGGCAACATATGTACAAATGTGCTTGATACAATTGATGTATGGGTTGTTATAAGAGCTGTAAGAGCCCCTGGTAAAATGATTTAAAAAATTTAAAAAGGGTAAGGACAAGGAGGAGTCACAGAATGATTTAAGAGGTACAACCTGATGCTTTCTTCCCAGTTTCTTCAAAAGTTGGTATTCAGTAAAGCATTTAGTTTTAGTCCAATTAGCTATTTATTGTGAGTCACCTTCAATTCATCTTATTCCTTGCTAGTTGACCAATGCGTTTTATTTGTTTAATTTGGCAATGGGCAAATTTGCTGCCAAGGACTTCTTACTTAACTTTCACATTGGGACTAGGTGAAGGTTTGCAGAGCAGATTACCAGTTTTACGCTCAACAAGTCGTATTATTTTGTTTCAACTCATTTGTTGCAAAGCTCTGCATACTATCCCTCATCCCACTTCCTCTCTGGGCTTTCTGTTTTCATGCCTCCCCCTTCCCTAACCCTCTGAACTGGGTCCTTGGGTAAATGCTGCCCCTCTGGTCTTCTAAGGCTGATGATTCTAACACAGAGGTGAGTCCCATACCAGACCTGAAGGGGGACTCAGGGCTACAGTCTTCGAGGGGTTCAACCTGTTTCTTATAGACCAGTGAGTCTCGTCTCTTACGTTTTTGAATTTTGTGCCAGATTTTTCTCCCACTCTATCCAGGACTTTCTAATGTGGTCCTTTTCAGAGCAGTTGGTAGTGGTAGCCAGGTACCATCTAGTTTTTCTGACCTCAGGGTTTTTGGACTGCTGCCCATTCATTCATTGGGCTAATTATTTCCTTCAGTCTTCAATTTCCCTCATTCTTCTTTCCTCTCTTGTTCACTCACTTACTCACCTTGAATCCTTAGGGCCCCTCTCTGCCACATACCCACTTGGTGTAATTGCAATCCTACTTAAAGTCATCCACCTGATCTGTGCCTGCATTCTTACACCTGGCCTCACTTTAAAATCATGACCCTAAAAAAAAAATTAAAAAAAATCATGACCCTAACTTTGGGTGGACCTTTCATGGTCAACAGTCTTTCTACAGTTCCCTACTCTGTTCGACTCTCTCTGCTCAACACTCAGTGCCTCCTCTTTCCTCCTCCTGCAGAATGACCCTGCTTCCTCTTTCTCTGCGAGGAAAAACAGGAGAGAACGTTCCCACCATCACACCGTTGCACCTGGGCCCATCTCCCTTGCTTTGCCTTCCGCAGCCACACACACCCAAAACTCAGAGACGCTATAGGACAGGGCAGAATTGCCCCGGTGGGTTTTCAAATCAGTAAATCTTTACAGGAGTAGAAAGCTGCTGCTTTCTCCCGGGGAGCAGCTGGTGGCATCTATCGGCCAACCTTTCAGTTGGCAGTCCAACACCTCTCCAAAGCTAAGTCCTCCGTCTGTACACCGAAGCTCCTCCCTCCCTTCCCACTGCAGTCATGACTCAGTCATTCTCCCCTCTCTGCCATGCCCTTTACTTTCCCCTATTTATTGGGGCGTTCCTATTAGCAGATGAATGTGCTATCTTGTCCTTTGAAAACAACTCTCTCCTGGTCCCATGTCCCTTTCCACCCAGCACACCTATCTTCTGAGCTCCTTTCCAGTAACATTCCTCTAAACCAGTGGGTCTCAACCTTCCTAATGCTGAGACCCTATAATACAGTTCCTCATGTTGTGGTGACCCCCCCAGCCATAAAATTATTTTTGTTGCTACTTCATCACTGTAATTTTGCTACTGTTATGAACCGTCATGTAAATATCTGATATGCAGGATATATTTTCATTGTTACAAATTGAACATAAAGCATAGTGAGGAATCACAAAAACAATGTCATTATATATTGTGAAATATTTATATATATATAAAGAATATATATATTGTGAAATATTTCCTTCTCATTTCAAATAAATGAAAATTTGTCTGGAAGCATGGTGTAGCATGGGTAAAGTCTTAATATAACAACAGTAAACTACATTGCTACATTTTGCGACAGTAAGCATAAAAAGCCAACTTCAGTGCGAAGGTTGAGATAGCTTCTTTCTCACCATATCAGCTTATCTACACGTGGGCGGACCCGCCGGGAACGGATAGAGGGGCGGTGTCTCAATTCCTAAGACCATCGGAAATATCTTCTTAGGCGACCTGTGAAAGGGTCGTTCGACCACCAAGGGGTCGCGACCCACAGATTGAGAACCGCTGCTCTAAGCAGTCTTCAACTCCTCTCGCTCCCAAGGCATTCCTCTCCATCACTTAGAAGGTTGGTAGTTACAACCCCGTGAGTGCTGGCTGGAACTGCTTTCATTAAATGAACTTTCCCTCAGCTCCTCCTGCCTCCAGATCGCTGCTCTCCTGGGTGGGGGGGAGGCTCACTCACTCCCTTCTTTCAGGTCTTTACTCAAATGTCTCCTACTCAGTGGGGCCCTCTCCAACCACCGCACAGCCCTCATCCTCGCGTGCTCCACTTTATACTTCTCTAATGTATTAAGCGGCGCCTTTATATTTTGTATCTTTATTAATCCATTCAACAAATTCGAACGGAGTCCCAACCGCGTGCCTGGCACTGTCCTAGTTGCGGCTAATGCAGCTGTAAACAAACAGCCAACAGCCCCTTTGTTGGACCTTACATCACATGGCAGAGGACAAGCAACAAACGCGGGGAAGCAGTAAAGCATGCATTTCAGAAACCTGAATACGGCCGGCCGAATGGGGCTCCCAGCGACCCTGCAGGGCACCGTGGACTTGCCCCCCTGCGCAGGGCTTCCGGCCCGCCACATCTTCCTCCCACAGAGCGGCTGGCGGGTTGGAAATGCCAACGTTATGGTTAGCAGTTAAACACTGCTCCTAAATACGTATCGGTGATAAAAGCGTGGGGGCGGGGGGCGGCAATAGAGGCGAGCGCAGGAGTTTGTAGTCTGTGCTTTTCTGGGAAAGACTTTTTTGGTCCACTTTGTACTCTTACCAGGGCAATGGTGCTAGGACACACAGCAGGCAATTAACTGAGAAGGCCTGAAACAGACGGTGAGTTCACCGTTTGAAGAGCGATCCGAATCTAGGAAAGGCTAGATGCAGTGGGCACGTAGCACGATTTTGAAGCGTACCTTCAGGCTCCTTAAGCTGTCAATTATTCCACGTTTGCATCTGCCACTATTCGCTGGCTCACCATGTCTGTCGTGATTGAGTGTTTTCTACAGCCGGATAAGGCGACCAAGATCAATCACTGTTAGAGGCAAGAAGAAGGACCCCAGCGGTCAGCCGGACCTGCGACGCGAGAAGCTCAGGGCTGCTGGGAGCACGCAGTTGCTAAGGAAAGGCCGTGCACTAACCTTTCCGCTGGAAGACAAGAGCTACGCGCCAAGGTCGCAGGATCTCGCGGCCACACAGCCCTGGGAGAGAGCCGTGCAGCAGCAGGATCGTCCTCCTCTCGGCCAACCCCACTCCAGGACAGGTGCTCCTCCCCGAGCCCGACTGCGCATGAGCAAAGAACTCCGGGCCCGGCCGCCCCGCCCACGTGACAGCGGAACCACGTGACCCGCCGCCCCGACCTTTTCCGCTCCCTCATCCACGGGACCTCCGGGCCCCGCTGGCTTCCGCCTTCCGCCCGCTTCCTCAACCGCTGCGCATTTCGCGTTCCGCTATCCCCGCCCACCTCCTCCCCGCGGAAGTTCCCTGCGTGGTCCAGCTCGTCTCTGTTTGACTCCGGAAGGGCCGCGAATAAAGTTTCCTCATTCAAAAGCTTCGTCCCTTAGCGGACGCCACGCCCCCTCTCGGCTCCTCCCTCCCGCGCGTCGTGCGCCCGGGCCCGCCTCTCTGCGGGCGGCCACGGACGCCTGGCCGTTGGGGCGCGGAGCGCGGAAGGGGATGGCGGGCTCTCCGGAGTCTCTCTCGGGACAGGACGTGGGGTTCGTCTCGCTTTCCTCACCGCGACCCTCCACTCGTTGTGCTCCCGCTTTGTGGTACCGGGCCTCGCAGGAGCCTGTGGGGAATGGGCGCCGCGCCGGCCCCGCGGCCCCGGCG